CCCTGTAAAAGAAATAACTCTTAAGCATTACATAAAGAACCTTGATCCCATTGTCACATGAACCTCTCTGCTCTGAAATTCATTGGATCGGGTCCCTGCCAAGACTGTTAAAAACTTGAAATGCCTGTTTTACAAATTCAATAGTTATGTTATCTTTTCCTCCCTCTGTTTGTTGACTGGAGTTCAATACTTGCATTCATCCCAATTTATTGCACAGGATTTAACCAGCACAGCAAAGAGCAGATAGGATCTCTGACAGAGGAGTCGGTTACTCTGCTGTGATAAAGAGCTTGGTTGATCGATGCTCTTTTATTTTTTCATTTAGCAATCTTTCTGTCTCCCCAGATGTATTCTCTACCACAAGGACTGCCACAGACAGATTCTAGATTTTCTGAGCAATCTGTCTTCTCTTTCACTTAAACACAGACCTTTGCTTTATTCCACAGGGTGCAGATTTCTAAGTCTCTTTCTTAGTCCTTTCTATGTCATAGTCGTAGGGACAGAAGGGAATTTATTTAAGTCAACTAACATTTAAAGATCTTGCTGGACTTTAGGTTTTTAAAACTGCAATATGTTTTTTTTCAATTGGACTTTTTTCCCAACACAATTACTTTTTTTTTTTCCCCCTGCAATGGAAACTCTGACCTTGGTAGATCAAAGACTTAGAGAAGCAAGGTCATCAAGTGTCAAGAGCAGGAGCAACAGTTTCCTTATTAGGTGATTTTTCTTTGTTCTTCTCTTTTTTTTTTTAATTAGACAGGTTTTATTTGTAAGTTGTTTTTTTTTCTTCCTTCCAGGCCTTTGAGCCATATGGAGGAAGTCATTAACGGCAACTCGGTAATGAGGATGCTTGCTCTCTTCCCCTTAGAACCAGAAAATCTCCCTGTGTGTCTTGACAAGACAGATTTCCAGCTGATCCTGCAATATCAAGTGAATAGCTGCACGGTGAATATTCAGTGTATATAAAGATTTACCAAGAACGACTGGTTATATCGAAGTAGACAGTTTAGATGAACAAAGACTTAAGGTAGACTTAAGGTATTTTTTAAATACATCAACTTTTTATTGAGCAAGAGACTTATAGGAGGGCGTGTCTTTTCCCAAAGAAGTCATTAGCCACCACTGTGAAAAACACATATGAAAAACACAAGAAATATATATTATTTTCCCTTTTTTAAACATTATAATTTTAACTCACATAACTTGAAATACATTTAAAAATAACATTATGGAGAAGCCCCATATTTAAAATGTGAGCTACAATAAATCTCTTGTGATTTATTTCACAGCATTTGTAAAACCAAAAATTTGTCATATTCTCCTAACTTATGGTAGGGGTCAGTTTATTTTGATAACTGTTCATGATCACCCTTTTTCTGCATTTATAGTGTCAGCATTAGATTTTATAAAACATCATTTTATGTAAAAACCTTTTCCCTAAACACAGGATCTGACCAAAATAGGCTGGATTTTCAAAAGAGATTTACAAAGAAGTTTTTCTTCATCCCCTCTAATTTAACACTATTTGAACTTAAATAAATCCCTGTCCTTTGTGTCATTTATGCAAGCCATCCTATTTCTACTTCAGAATATTTTAGAGACATCTACTGGAAAGATGCATTATTGCAAATGTTATAAAAGAGGTTTAAGTGGTATGCTGCTACTGACATTTCAAAAAATGTCTTAAATACCACATCACAAGACCAGTTCCTTTTCAGACAGCAAAACTCTGATCCCTAAAAGGGTATAATAAGCAAAAATTATATTACAACTGTTTTTTGATGTTGAACTTAATGTTTCCCCCACCTAAAATAAAGTCTTAGTTAGGCTTTTTAAAAACTGTTTTCTTTTTGGTAGTGTGAATAATATTTTTGATAAAGTAATCTAGAACTATAACTACCAGTATTTTGAGCATCTGAGTTGCAGCTAAACAGCATGTGTGAAAATTCAGCATGTAGTGGAATATGACACAGGAAAATCCCCCTCCAGATTGAGTCACAACCTCTCTTCAGCTCTCCTAACAGCTTGTGGCTGGAGAGAGAGAGAGAAAAAGAGAGAGAGAGAGAGAGAGAGAGAAAATGAATGGAAGGAAAAAAAGTAAAATAGTTGAATTTCTAGCCACACCAATTGATTCCTGATCTATGAATATTTTAGTTACATTTAAAAGCTCTTACTACAATCTCAACTAATAGAACATTGTTATTTTTATATGATAGAATCTATTTAGTTTGCAGGGAGGAAACTTGTTGGGAAAGCAGGGATTTGTACAATTTATGTAGCTCTTTACAAATTTTCTGTGAATCACATAATCTGCTGATGTTCTTGAGGAACTAACACAGAAGTAATTGTCATGGTAGCTACATAATCAGGTTATTGCAAACCCTTGAGGGCTCAGAAGAGGTTTAAAGAAGGAATCAGCCAAGCTGATTATTCTTGCCATATTTGGGGCAGCTTGTCATATGAGACCGTGTGGACAGTGTTGTCAAAGACTGGTTTGACATATGAGACCATTTTCTTTCCTATATAAGAAGAAAAGACTGCTGGCACATATATAAAATGTGATAAAAAGGGTGGAGGGGACTTGGCATGTAATTGGGTGGGTATCAAAAGGGAAAATGGCGCAAAAAATACCCCCAGAATAGAGATAATGAAGAACTGTTCCAGGGACAAAGGAACACAGCAACCCTTGATACAGCTGGAGCATCAACTGCGTCAATAAAAGATTCAGCGGTTTTTGCGTACACCAATAACAGCACAGAGTAGGATGGTCAGAGGATTGTAGGGAGCAACAGAATGTTCTCTCGGAATCAAAGTGATACTGACACTGATTGAATGACAACATTGCCAACGGGCATATCTGACCTCAGAATGTTATTGCTACTGTAGGCTTTGATAGAAAAGAGACTCTTCCACAACAGTGTACTCAGCAGATACCTGAAATATGATTAGTTCCAATACACCAGGGGCCATTAAAATGTTTATGGAAACATGAAATTAAAATACAAGTTTATTTGGGGACCAAAAAAATGTAGAAATTCATGAGTAGTGTTTTCATAATATGCATTTGCCATGAACTTTTCACAGACCCCCTCGTACGCAGTGATGAAATGTCATCATCAGAACTATTTATTTTTTTTCCAAGAGAATTAAGATGATGATTTATAAATCTAGGAGTAAAGACATCCACAGATAATTCCAATTAGGATAGAAGTTGTTATAAAACAATTAAAGCTAAACTACTTGAATTAAATTTTAAAACGATATAAAATATTTGTTTCACATTTTGAAGTGTACTTATTCTATAACACATTTATATTTATAATATAGCTAAATGTTTCTTATAGTTATTTATTTGAAAAAAAAAAAAAAGAGAGAGAACGACGGTACCCGGTAGATATTCAAACTGTCAAAGAGTCTACATATCTCGTGTGTATATTTATAATGATGAAGTTCCATGCTATTTTTCTTCCTGTCTGTAAGTGGTCTGCCACAGTAACTGAGAATCAATTCAGAAGCATGAAAAGATGAAGCATGCAACCACGGCATT